GGACAGAGGCCCACCTGAGCACCAAACAACAGGATAGGCCAGAAGCACTGACCCAGATACACAAATAGGTGGAGCATGGGAGGAGGAAAAATGGGAATAGGTAAGGAAAACCCTGAATACGGCCCAAGGAGCGACCGGGAAGTAAGGCACACGACCAATCACAAAATGTGTAGAGGAGGGTGTACATACCCGATGGACCTCATGGACAGCAGGGTGCAGTCAGGCACCGAAGTTAGGCAAGGAATGAGTGTCCCGAGAGGGAAAAGACCCAGGTGCCGACAACGAAACCAAAAGCGCCGAAATGCGGGGCAGAGCCCCACAGGACAACAAAGAACAAAAGACAGGGACAAAAGTCACTGAAGACCCACGCAAAGTGACCAAACACCCCTTTAGGAGCCATCGACTCAATCCCGCCAAGCGGGGAAGAGTAAACAAGGATGGAGCAGTGAACAAGGGTGGTGGAGTGAGCAGATTATCCCAAGAAGATACCTGCTCCAAACGCATTAGCCTAACGAGAGAAGCAAAGCTCTATGGAGGACCAATCATGGAACTCAAACCGTTCCAAACTTCCAGTTAATATGCCTGCCAACCTTTGGAGAACGGCGAGGTATATCCCGAGCACAGAAGCAGCAGAGTAGCGAATAATAACTAGTCGACCCGCAAGTGTGGTCTAAAACAGACACTTGCGAGAAACTGTACCGACTCCCAGTGCGCTGAACTCGCACCATTGCCCACCAAAATATCACCCCACATACCACTGTATACGCAACAAAAAACATGTAGCCTCTGAGTGGTTGTGTTTATTGTCACCAATCTTCACGAAACAATAGAACTGGGACAGAGGCACATGCCACCCATGCAGCACATTTTGGATACGAAACAATGGGCATAAAAGGGATAAGTGTAGAATCAGGAAAGACCTGAGGAATGACCGGCACGGTAACAGGTTCGGTGATTCACGGAACCAATTACCGCGTAACGTGGTGGCGAGGCCCCACAATTTGTGCAAACGTGGGTTGGACATGTATACTAGTGGAAATGGTTAGGAAGAAATAGGAGCTGCCTTGTACGGGCTAATAGGCCCTCTGCAGTTCCTCTGGTCATATGTCCGTATGGTCGTATGCACAAGGGGACACAGGAGGAAGCCTGTGTCCCCTTGGACACAGGGAGCCACAGACACGAAAAAGAACCTGATCAATGTCAGAGGGGGAAAGGAAGCAGAAAGCACTAAGAAGCTATGTGGTGGAGGCAGACTCCACCCACAAGAGCAACCGTAGAGAAGACAGAGCCCAGGAGGCTCAGGAAACTGCACAACTGTCAACGGACAGGAGAGGTGGGGCCCAAGAGCCAGAGCTCAACCCCCGCAAGCACAACTAGGCAAGCTCCCCACCAAAAAGTGAGAACCAGCCCATGGCCGACAGAAGCGCCAGACATGACAACCTCACCTGCAGAGCGGACACAGGACCGTGCCACAACACAGGCGAGCCAAGTAACATACCAGGAGAGCGCTAAAGGTGTGCCTGAAAGCCAAGCATACTCGAGGCAGTAGGCATGGAATGTACCATTACCTGAATAGAATTCGGAAGTCGAAGGAGAAATACGCCCAGAGGCGCGCGCCCCGCAGAAGACAGAGCAGGACAGAGGGGGAGGAAGCGGCGCCACGCCGAGCCATCCCACACCCGGAAGCAGAGGAAGAACGAAGTGACACCTAGACATAAATCCAGAACACCCTCAGCATCCAGAGGGCCATGACCGGAGGGAGAAAACAAGCAAGAAGCCGTGGAAAACCCCGAGAAACGACGCGAACACACGAGCATACTGCTCATAAACAAAAAGCACACCGCGGCCCCAGCACACGAGGTATGAACGCACCACCCGTCCAACGGGAGGCGTGGCTCGTACACATGGCGGACACACAGATCGTACACACAACGTACAAACACAATGTAAACACACATCATACAAACACCAGGAAGGTGTGCGTAACGAAGACGAAGAACACCGAAAATGGAAGTAGAGACGATACGAAAACAAAACAAGGCGAAAACGAAGCAAAAGAAAACAGATGACGGAAGGTAACCAATGAGGCCGACAAAAGACCAGAGGGAAACCTCATCGAAAATCAACAGACGTTCCAATAATATTGGAAGGTACGAAGAGACTCGTGAACCAACGAGAACCACGACAAACACCCCTGAGCAAGGGACACGCAGGGACAACGATACGAAGTTGTTTAGGCATTGTATATACAAGGCAATATATAAATCCATCAACGCGTGTTTCACACCTTGTATGAATGTTCCTTACCTGAACATTCAATTTTTTTTCCGGAACAGTATCGCAACGTAAGAGCGAAAAGGGTAAGGAAAAGGGGGCAAAACACACCCCCAGGAACGATGGGACTGACGATCCCAAAGGAACACGGAACCGAACCCAGGGAGGGGTATACCCGAAAACAACAGGAACACAGAGAGGGAAGGAACAACCCTTCTCTGAGGAACTGCCAGCCCCTCACCAAAGGTACAAGGACCAAAGAGGGGCAAACGGGGCCGAGGCCCCCAAGGCAACCCCTCCCTAACCCCGGGAACCTCGACGGCATGACCCGGGGCTGAGCTGCACCCCTAAAGCCCCAGCTTGACAAGGAAAAGCCGGGGCAGCACTAATGAAGGGAGCCCACTGGTCAGATCCATACGGCACGGCTGGAGGAACCGACTCGAATGCCTCCGCCGCCACCCCGGAAGAGGAAACCCCCGAGACCGCCCGAGTCTCAACTCAACCAGACCCCGCCCCAACCCCGAAACCCTCCTATGGTTCGGAGCAGGAAGCAAGGGAGGAAGTGTGTAGAACAGAAGGGAAAGGACAAGGAGCGGAAGGAGCCAGAGCCGAAGCGAGCCCCACCCCCAAGTCTGGACCCCAACCACCAAAACGGGGCAGCCTCGGGGCATCCGGGGTTGCAAACAACCAAGAGCGTCGCAGCAATCTACAACCAGCAAGCAACGCCACAGCTGCTTGCACCCGATGAACATGACCAGTGGCCTGGGTGAAAGAGAGCATGTACCAACAACACTCGCCGTACGACTCCGGGTCACAAAAACAATGACCCAACAGGCAGCATGGCGGAGGCACAACCGGCGAGTGTCACCCTGAGACAAGGGGACAGATCAACTGACAAACTCGCAGGACGCGAGAGGGACTCCGGGGGGGGGACACTTATAGGACCACGGAGCCCCCATGGGGTTTTCCAGGGCCCTTAGCCGTTGGTACACGCAAAGGGAAGCCCAGGCAGGGTACCGCGAACCGGCGCCCAATACTACCAACAAACTGCTAAAGCTGAACCCCCGGGACGTGTCCACTCACAGGGGCGAAGCGGGGAGTACCATCAACAGAAGGAATATAAGGAAATCACCTAGAACAGGAATAGGGTACCACAAAGGCAGACCCCCCCCCCCACCAGGCAAAAACAAAAACAAAAGAAAAACCCCGCAAGAGGACAACGTACCCAGGCGGAACAGAGCCGGCCGCTATTATGGTGAAAACTAGCTGTGCAGTACCCCGCGCCCCTACCAGTGACAAAAACTACCACCTACCCAGAGACAAATCAGGGCAACAAACCCCCAGCCAACTCCAAGGGCGGCCCAGTACCGAGCAGTAAAGGACACAGCGGAGGTAGAACCCAAGGTGACTTGTGGAAGGTGCCCCCAAGCCCCAAGGGCAGTACTTACAGGGCACCTAGGGAAGATAGCCCTAGGCGCATGCAGCCCGAGTACGGTGGAATCTTACTCCTGGCTCACACCCCACCGGTAGAGACAGTCCACACCACAAGGCACAGAACTGAAACAAAAACCGGAGCCAGAGGCACTCGACCAGCCAGTAATACCATCAGCCAAGAACTGCCAGTTGGATCGCCGGCGTGGAGGGTCTGGGGCTCCCCCTTCCCCCTCCCGGGGAGGGGGGGTTGCACAGACGGTGGCGCAGCGATGTGATGACGTCATGCTAGTTAGATAATTTTGTTTGGGGAGTTCTGTCCACTCGTTCGGTTTTCAGTAGCAATATTTTTACCAGAATAGGGGTTTGTTTTGGGGCGCCTACCTTTCTGGGTGCCTATCCCGGTCGATGGCAGACATAGAATGCTCCCAACCACAAGGGGGTTTCTATAGGCCATTGCTCCTTGTGCCTCTCTGAGGGGTCCAGGTTCTGGCTCGTGGTCCCCGGCAGGCAAGAACTCCTAGCACTTTGACTGATGCCAGAAAGTTATAGATATCCATTCAGCCTGGATAGCTCCGGGGAGCCGACGGGGCTCCCCCCAGAAAATAACTAAAATCATAAAAAAAATCCCCCTAAAAATAAAATATTTTTGGGACATTAATGAAAGTAACATATTAACATTGGACAATGTATTTATATGATATATAACAAAATAGATCATATTAACAAAGTTATTCATTATGTTTTGTGTTATTATGTATTACTCGGCAATGATATAAAGGCACCAACTGCATATCCACTTTGTGGACACTTCTTACTACTATTCTCCTTCTTTGAGCATAGAACAGGTGTTTGCATTTCTTTATACTGCATAATCCTCCAGTTACAGTTATTAGCTCTTCTTCTTATCAATAAAAACTTTCTTATTTTTTAAAAATTGGTCTAAAATAAACTTCTGAAAATATTTTTTCGAGAGTTTCACGACACTAAAGCCAATAAGTTGGAGATTTGTTTAACACTTTTACGTTATTTTTACATACAGTAATTTGAATATTTTTCGATGTTATGCCCTTAAATTCGCAGTAATATGCACGGTCTAAGGGTTAATTTAGTCAATACACACTAATTTCTTATTTCATCTGAAAAATAATGTAGAAACCATCTTATGCTATTAATTTTAAATGTTCTGTTAAACACTATCCAATACTAGAGTGCAAAATGTTGAACCTTGGTGAGCCTACTACAACCCACCATCAAGTGCCTCAAGAAATAATTTAGTGTAATGCAATACTAACCATATGAACTTTTGCATATTTCATCAGTGTTTGCCTCAGCTGTGGTGTCCAGAACTATTACATCATCAGGAAATGAAGAGTCATCTGGGTTTTTGGATACATCTTCACTCACACTGTCTTCTTTTAGTAATTCTGAAAGTATTGCACATTTAAACGTTACAGAAAGCTTTTAAAATAACAAATTTAGTTAAAAAGACTAGCATAACATTTTGGGCATGACCATATTTTTCTGTTCAATCTCGTCCAAGAGTCAAAATGTAGCCAAATCTCAAGCTTTTAATGTAATGACATGCCATTTTCTGGGTGAGACCCGGAAACTCCCCGGAGCTATAACGGACCGATGTGTATATTAGACGGTGGCAACAGTCAGTCGATGGAGTTCTAGGCCTACCGGGGGCCAGTGCCAGAACCTAGCCCCCCTCAGAGAGGGGCATGAGGAGCAATGGCCTATAGACACCCCTGTATAATTGGAAGCAGTCTTTGTCTGCCATTTACTAGGTCAGCCATCCAGAAAGGCAGGAATTCCAAAACAAACTACAGCTGGTTAAAAATTGCAAACTGACAGCCAAACTAGCAAGCAGAACTCCCCAATCAAAAACAAGCAAACAAGCATGACGTCACCACAGTCGCTGCACTGCTGTCTGTGCAGCAGACAACAGTGCGAAGGGGGAGTCCCAGACTTCCCGCACCGGCTAACCAACCCCAGTTCGGAGGATGAATATAAAAAATGTGGGAAAAAAAATGTGCTGACCGGAGGGAGGGAGGGATGCCTGGGGAGCCTCCATGTCTCACCTAGAATATGGCGTTTCATTACATTCAATGCCGATTTTCTGTAGAGAGCCTCTTCGTCTCCCAGGAGCTACCTAACCTTACCTAACTTACCTAACTTACCTAACCTTACCTAACTTAAAAGAAAAGAAGGACTTCCCCGGGAGGCGGCTGCCACTTGCTCCTCAACTCGAAGTCGAGATAACTGGCTGCAACCTGCGATCCAAGGAATACACACGCCCGATAAGGGCTAGTAACATGAGCGATGTACCATGCGGCCAGGAACCTGTTCGACCTCCAAAACCCCCATGCCCGAATGTCAGCCAAGGTCATACAGTATTACCAAAAACAGCAGCCAAAGCCACGAACCTACGAATGTTGTGGGCATGGGGATAGACCACAGGATGGATGGACCGAATAATCCTGCGAACGGCCTGGGAGACCTGCGCCCGAGAACAGGGAAGAAGGAAAACCGGGTCAACCCAAAGTGTGTCCCCTGCCATGGAGGCCGTGGGGCACAAGTAACAACAAAGAGCTACAACCAAACACAAAACATGATGCACCCCAGACCGAACCAACCAAGCATCAATAACCTAAGGACCCCTCCGGAGAGAAGCAGTCCCATTCTTCGCCGGAAAAGGAGACTGCTGCAAACGAACGAAATGAGCACCAGGACCGAAAGAGCAGAAATCCCTGTGCCAGAGGTGAGTATGAAGCTCCCTGAACTGACCCCCAGAGGCCAATTTCAACAAGAAAAAAACTGAAGAGAAAGCCATCGATGTCTACGTCGATACTACGTCTAATATCACAGTTCTTAGTTGAAATTACTCGATGTGTTCGGGGTCCAAACCAAGAGATCGTGTAAGCGGCGGAAGAGAAGTCCACGAAGGAACCAGAACGGCTGCCGAAACCAGATCCGACTCGACGGATAGACCAGCACGGCGAAGTTCAGACTCTTGTACAGCTGCCCAAACAACCGACGCATGACCTGGGTGCCCTCCAAAAACAGCTGCAGCAACGCCATGGGAAGGAGAGACAAGGAAGCGGTCTGAGAGTCCCACACAAGATCCAGAAAATGCACTACTGCAGACTCTGCAAACAGCAACAAACAAAAAGGGGATGAAAATCTAAGAGCCAGGGGCCCAAGCAGATTCCAAAGAGTGGACGAGCACCACCTGTCAGTCCGCGAGGTGAGACGCAAAGAACAGAGACACTGCCTCCTTCAGAATCGGTGCATACAACTCCAACACTGCAGCCGACGCCTGAGCTGCCAAGGCAAGCGCATCAGACACTGGCCCGGAACCCAGCTCCTCCACATCCTCCTCGAGCCAGTAATAAGATTGCTCCAGCAGGGATAAAAAAGCGCAAGATCGAAGCCAAACGCACCCGGGATCACAAATCCTCGGCCACCAGGGATGCCGAAAGGGAGGAAACCTGCACATGAAGCTGCACCTGGCCGACATCATGAGGAAGGACGGGGGGCGAACAAGAATGCATTGAGGTGCTCAAACTAGCCTCCTAGGTAAACCTGAACATCCGTAGTCAACTCCCACCATTCAAGCGTACGGGTCCGACAGAACGAATGCCAAGCCTCCAACGAAAAGAAGGGGCATTCTGCCAGTAAGGAAGACTCCGGCACCTCGTAACACACCCAGTAAGGAAAAGAGGAGCCAAACTCAAAGGAAGAAGGCTTCATTACCAAGGTGTAATCCAGGTCTCACAGGAGGCAAGTTGCAAGGGTCTCCCACACCTCCCTCGGCGGGGTCTGGGAAGCGGAAAACCTCCCTCGGCGGGGTGTGGGAAGCGGAAAACCTCCCTCGGCGGGGTGTGGGAAGCGGAAAACTTCCCTCGGCGGGGTGTGGGAAGCGGAAAACCTCCCTCGGCGGGGTGTGGGAAGCGGAAAACCTCCCTCGGCGGGGTGTGGGAAGCGGAAAACCTCCCTCGGCGGGGTGTGGGAAGCGGAAAACCTCCCTCGGCGGGGTGTGGGAAGCGGAAAACTTCCCTCGGCGGGGTGTGGGAAGCGGAAAACTTCCCTCGGCGGGGTGTGGGAAGCGGAAAACCTCCCTCGGCGGGGTGTGGGAAGCGGAAAACCTCCCTCGGCGGGGTGTGGGAAGCGGAAAACCTCCCTCGGCGGGGTGTGGGAAGCGGAAAACCTCCCTCGGCGGGGTGTGGGAAGCGGAAAACCTCCCTCGGCGGGGTGTGGGAAGCGGAAAACCTCCCTCGGCGGGGTGTGGGAAGCGGAAAACCTCCCTCGGCGGGGTGTGGGAAGCGGAAAACCTCCCTCGGCGGGGTGTGGGAAGCGGAAAACCTCCCTCGGCGGGGTGTGGGAAGCGGAAAACCTCCCTCGGCGGGGTGTGGGAAGCGGAAAACCTCCCTCGGCGGGGTGTGGGAAGCGGAAAACCTCCCTCGGCGGGGTGTGGGAAGCGGAAAACCTCCCTCGGCGGGGTGTGGGAAGCGGAAAACCTCCCTCGGCGGGGTGTGGGAAGCGGAAAACCTCCCTCGGCGGGGTGTGGGAAGCGGAAAACCTCCCTCGGCGGGGTGTGGGAAGCGGAAAACCTCCCTCGGCGGGGTGTGGGAAGCGGAAAACCTCCCTCGGCGGGGTGTGGGAAGCGGAAAACCTCCCTCGGCGGGGTGTGGGAAGCGGAAAACCTCCCTCGACGGAGTGTGGGAAGCTGAAAACCTCCCTCGGCGGAGTGTGGGAAGCTGAAAACCTCCCTCGGCGGAGTGTGGGAAGCTGAAAACCTCCCTCGGCGGAGTGTGGGAAGCTGAAAACCTCCCTCGGCGGAGTGTGGGAAGCTGAAAACCTCCCTCGGCGGAGTGTGGGAAGCTGAAAACCTCCCTCGGCGGAGTGTGGGAAGCTGAAAACCTCCCTCGGCGGAGTGTGGGAAGCTGAAAACCTCCCTCGGCGGAGTGTGGGAAGCTGAAAACCTCCCTCGGCGGAGTGTGGGAAGCTGAAAACCTCCCTCGGCGGAGTGTGGGAAGCTGAAAACCTCCCTCGGCGGAGTGTGGGAAGCTGAAAACCTCCCTCGGCGGAGTGTGGGAAGCTGAAAACCTCCCACGGCGGAGTGTGGGAAGCTGAAAACCTCCCTCGGCGGAGTGTGGGAAGCTGAAAACCTCCCTCGGCGGAATGTGGGAAGCTGAAAACCTCCCTCGGCGGAATGTGGGAAGCTGAAAACCTCCAGGAGGGAACCAAAGAACCCAAGGGAACCCAGGAAAAAGTCGAACTCATATCAAAATCGTACAGGGAGGGAGAATAGGAAAACCCCCTCCCCCCTGTAACAACAGGCCCTGCGTCGAGATACCAACACCCAAGCGGGGTCAAACAGGGCCCAAGCCCCCCCCCCCTCCCCAAGTCAACTCCGCCCCAGCCCCGGGATCCTCCACGTCAGAACCCAGGGCCGAGCTGTCTTCTAAACCTCCTGCTACTGGAGAAAAAGCAGAGTCCACCAGAAAAGCAGACACAAAAAGGGGGGGGCGGGGTCCCGCTGGCCCAATCCAAAAGCTCCAGCAGGAGGAACAGGCTTGAATGCCTCTGCCCCCTGATCCAGAGATCTATTTGCCTCGCCACCAGGCAAACCCTGCCCCGACTACAAAACCCTCAGACATTTGGAAGCTGGGAGCAGAAGGGGAAAGGTTGCAGGACTCTAGGTCAAAGGTGTCATTTACCCTACAGGCAGCATGGCAGAAGCAAAGACCACGAGTGTGACCCTGAGACAATGGCACAGAGCAACCTTCATGCTTTCACAAGGCAAGGAGGGACTCAGGTCTCCTCCATCGGACCAATGAGCCCCAATAGGGGGTTCCCAGGGCCCTTAGGCTGACTGCTAAGGGAAGCCCAGGTGAAGTACTGTTAACCAGTTATCCCATAGTTAATAAGCAAACAAACTAAAAGCTGAACCCCTACGACATGTGCAAGCACAGGGACCTAGCGGAGGGCCACCAAAATCATACAAGTGGTCCTACAGCCACACCAGACAGACCCGACCAGGCAAAACAAAACAAAAGAAAAACCCTGCAAAAGTACAACATCCCAAGGGGAATAGAACTGGTTGCTATGCATATATCAGACAGCTGCAGAGTACCTCGCACCCCTGCCAGCATCAATACTACCCCCTACCCAAGGTCAAACAGGAGTAAGAGCAACCCCAGATGAACCCCAAGGGTGGGCAATCACCGAGCAGCAAAAGAACCACGCAGAGGTAGTCTCCTGAACAGCTCATGAAGGACAAACCTAAACTGCAAGGGCAGTACTTACAGGGCACCTTAGGAAGGTGGCCCTAGGCGCATGCAGCCACAGTACTCTTATGTTACTCCTGGCTCCCACACCACCACACAGAAGCAGGTGAAGGTGAAGCTGGAGGAGG